AAGAGGGGCAAATATGGCCTAGTTTCTTACTTAAAAAAAATGTGGCCTCTTTTTCTAATTATGATTATTTTTTTGCCTATTTTCATAATTTTCCCGTGGATTCGAGCTGCTAAAGAGTTTTGGTTGAGACAAGTGAGACGACCAAGTCAGAGTGACCTTTATTTTTCAGTTGTGCATATTTGTTGGACTGATGGTCGTGTTCGGACAAGATAGTTGGAAAGGCTGAACTGTTTGATAAGACAGCTATGCGGTAGGACTATAAGATTAAATGGAAAATATTATAATTGTTATGGCGGGAACGGTTACTCAATTTCTTGTACGCAACCTAAATACTATTGAAACCCCCATGGGAACTGGTACTCAATGTCTTGCATGCAAAAATGAGTAGGAACGGTTACTTGGGCAACATTTGTAGCAGATGCACGATTTTAATCACGAAACTTGTCCATTAGCTCTCTTTTATGCGAAGAAATCACGAGGAAGACTTTGAGAGAAATTAAGGAAGAAAGGTCGCTGTGAAAGACTCGAGCGTTGATAAAGGGGATTGAGACTGGGTGATTCATGACTAAGTGTTGGACGGATTATCTCGATAAGAGGTATCATAACTGAACCAGATCAAGACAACTCGAATTTGATTGACTAAGGTGAGTGCCCGTGAGCTACAAGTCTAGGATCATTTTCTTGCATATATTAATTGAGTCTTGATTGTTAGAATTATTCCGACTATTTCTTATTTATATTTTGTTATTTGCTGGCTCGTTCATTATGATTGATTTTGTTTATTGGGAGTCTTGATAAGGAAACACGCTTAGGGACAGCAATGCTCGCCAATGCTTGTATGGTTGTGGGAAAACGGCTCGGCAACTTGGAATAATCATGTTTGACGAGTGACTGAACTGATAAGCATGATTAATTGAATGAACTAACAGTTTGAAAGCGATACCTATTATGTGGCTAAGTGAGACAGGAAGACCAATCTCACTAAACAATTTTGTTGTTTATGCCTTCTTTGTGGATGCAGGATAAATAAATTACTCGTGATGGTAATAAGAGTGCTTGAGCCGCGAGTGTAAGGCAAGAAACATAAGGATGGTGGATTGGATCGGGAAGATAAGTATATTATCAATGTAATAGCTTATTAGCAAAGTAAATAGTGCACGAAAAAGGCTTGTATGGATATAATGAAACGTTGAAAATGTGGAGTATGGAAAAAATCTAAAATTTGACTAAGTCTGATCGAGGCGGTCGAGCGAGAACCTTACATCGGTAAGAAAATTTGGGTTGGGGCATTTCAACCCGTCTTGTGCAATCAACAAACACGTAAAGCCCTAAAAAATGTAAATGGAGGGGTGTTTTTCGACAACTCTCAAGTCAAAAAAGAGCAAAAGAATAAGAGAAGAGACCACGGATACACGTGGATATCAAAAGAAATGAAGTCTCAAAACTAAAAGAGATTAATAGGATTTCTCCCGGCTGAGTAAGGGATGGTTCACAGAGTTTCTTAACGTTTTTGGAGAAAGAATTTGTGGTCAGGCAAAAGAGGAAAAACATAATATTTAGGGAAGTTCCGGTCAAGGATCAACCAGAAAATAAAAAAACTCAAGGAAGAGATCCGGTGAGAATGGTCCTAAACAACCAGAACAAGACTAAAACTAAAAGGAATTAGTCTCGAAAGAATTATGCTCATTGTATGTACTTTTAGTCATAAGATTAGATTCATTCAATGAAGGGAATAGTGTGGCATTTATATGCTTTTACTTTTCCGGGTTTGGATGTAACGCCCGTGAACCAAAAATGTGATTTTTGGTTGTGTGTCGAT